TATCTATTGTAGCTAGTCGGGTCGTTTACCGTTGTAGCAGTACGCTACTTGGCGCACAACATACTATTTACCCATATATATATATATATATATATATATAATTTCATCACACGGTCACAGTTGTCCCCGTAGTGTTTCAATTTTCATTTTTTTTACTAATCATAATTATCTAAAATTTGTAGCATATGTACATCTTACTGAGGCACACCTGATAAAATATATGAAAAAAATAATTTGAATAATATAAGTTGACCAAAATACCCCCATAAATTTTCAGGGTTATTTTGGTCAATTTATAATTTGTGAATTATGTTTTTCATATTTTTATTAAGTGTGCCTTATTAAGATATACACAGGTTCTAAATTTCAAGTAATTTGGATTTATAAAAAAAAAATGAAAATTGAAATACTACCAGACAACTGTGACCGTACGATGAAGTTTTGATGGTGAAGAGGGTAGGAAAAATCGCTGTTCATTTTCACCTATAGACATTGCGTAGTGTTTTCCATATATATATATATAGAAACTGTGACTGTGACCGTGCGATGAAGTTTGGATGGTGATGAGGGTAGGAGAAATTACTGTTCATTTTCGCCTATAGGCGTTGCATAGTATTTTATATTTTGAGAATTAATTTTTTATATTTTTATTGGATTCTTCTATTTTTGATGAACACACGCTTTGAATTTCATATCATGCCGATTTAAAAAAAAAATGAAAACTAAAATACTACCTGACAATCGTGACCGTAACTTTGGACGATGATCAGCATAGGCGAAATTACTGTTTATTTTCACCTATAGGCATTAGAAAGGTTATATATATATATATATATATATAAATCATGTCCACCCAATGGCATACTGCTGTAGTAAACGCCAACGGCCCAGATTGAATCTGAGCCGATCTAATGATCCTGGATGTTTGATAGTGTTTGAATTTTAATTTTTTTTCTACAAATTAAAATGATCTGAAATTTGGAAAGTGAATCTTTGAAAATTACAAAAAAAAATATTTTACATGAAAAAATTGACCAAAATACCTCTGTAAAGTTTTGAGGGTATTTTGGTCAATTATTTTTATGCGGATTATTTTTTGTTATATTTTTATTAGGTGCGCTGTGATGAGAAGAACATACACCTAAAATTTTCGATTTATAAAAAATAAAATAAAATTCAAACACGAAAAGAGGTCGTGATTGTCAGATTGGCCCAAATTCAATCCGGGCCATTAGCATTTACTGTAGCAGTCAGCTAATAGGCGTATTGAATCCACTCCCATATATATATATATATATATTTCTGAACTATTTTGTTTTAGAGATTTTGTTCCTTGACTTTTAATTTCATTGGTTTCTCTGTTCTGTCCAATCTTTTTGACATTTTTAGGGCTTCCTTGAAAATGTTGGAAAAAATAGTAATTTTAAGTACTATAAATTTATAATTTTAAATATTATATAAACTTATTTTTAAGATTATGAATTTTAGACTATGAAATGAATATGTATTACTCTGGTAGGAGCTAGATTATTGGTATTCATTTCTTTTTTGATAATTTATCCAAATGTATAACAGGTTTGTAATTTTTCATAAATCAACTGACTTTAATTTTTAGAATTTTTCTTTTTATTTTTCAAAGTTTTCAACTTGGTAAGGCCAAATCAGTCGAATTGGTCTGAGTTGGCCGATTCCCTAGGTCAACTGAGACCCAATGGGTGGGTGGCTGGTTCGGCCACCCAATCCCGTTTTTCAAACCTTGAGTAGCTCTTTCACTCAAGGAAGTTATTATAGAGTATGCTATACATTCTATTAAAAAAAAGAGGAATTTAAATAGAATTTGTTTATAAAAATACTATTTACCTTTTGTACAAAGAAGTCACAACTATTCTCACTAATTAGATATCAAATTGAATGGCTTGGGGCGAGTCACAAAGTTCAAGAACTTGTTTTTGGATCTATATGTCTAGTTAATGATACTTATGTCTAGTTAATGATACTGTTATAACCACTTATTTTGAAATCTAAAAAATAAAAATGATTGTAACTTTCTTGTACAAAAAGATAAATGGTTTCAATCCCATTTAGAAAAATTTTAAATAAACCTAAGTTTTCCTGCAATTTAAAACTTCACCCTTTCTCACTATTTCAACTCATTGTCATGTGTATTTTGATAGATACTTCGAAACTTAATTGAAATATTTGGGTAAAAGATTAAACAATTGCTATCTAATGCATATTTATAGATACTTTGAAACGTAATTAAAATATTCGGGTAAAAGATTAAACAATTGCTATCTAATGCATATTTTGATAAATTTTAAAACAATCATTCCCTTGTAGAGAGTCCATGTACAATTTGACCCCATAGGAGCAAAGCGAGAAATCTTTTTCTCCATTTTCATTGTTCTTCTGCCAGACCAGTAGTCTGTGCGCATGTACGGCTTAGATGATGTTATCGGGGACTGCTTTTGATCCAAGCCGTCAAAACCATTCCTTGAGCGAGTGATGCGCAGTGATCTCGAGAGCTACACGCCATACCTATGCACAAACCGGAATTTGTAGCTTCAGTTTGATATAATGGCGCATCCACTTAGAGAAGTCGAAGACAAAAACCCTAATTCCTCCTCTAGTGTTGCTCAGAACCAGGAAACGAACCCAAATTCTTCATCTTCTTCCTCCCAAGGAACTGTTCAATCTCATCAAAACCAGTTGAAGAACAAGAGCTTCTCCATTCTATCCTCGCCTTCGCTTATTGGTCTTGCCATCGCTGTTCCATTCGTTGCCCTAATCCTCAGTATCTCAGAGAAGCCATTGATACCTGATGTGAGCTTCCTTGTTGGTCAGTTTTTTTATTTAAATATTTAACGTTTTTTTTTCTTATCATTAGGTTTATTCTCATGTGAGGTATAATTACTTATTCTGAATTTGGATTTACGTACTTGAACTGAAAAGTCGACATTAGTCAGGGTCTCCAAGAATGGAATTTCTTGTTTTGAGTATAACTTTAGATGGAAATGAAGGTTTCTGATAATGGAATAACTTGTTTATTCTGAATTTGGATTTACGTACTTGAACTGAAAAGTCGACATTAGTCAGGGTCTCCAAGAATGGAATTTCTTGTTTTGAGTATAACTTTAGATGGAAATTAAGGTTTCTGATAATGGAATAACTTGTTTGATACTTTGATTTAAATTTAAAAGGGTGGTTAGGCTTTGTTAATGATATATTCTAATTGGAACCTTCTAGAACTTTTCTTCTAGATTTAGGGATGCATCAGTTAATGGAATAGCTTCTTTCATTTAATTTATATGATGGTTAGCGTTTCTGAGAAGGGGAGTCTCAAAACTTTTCATTAACTGTAGTGCAAGTACTACATTTTGAATGTCAAGTTCAAGTATTTGGTGGTTAGGAAATTTCGTATCGGGATGGTTCTTAATTGAAACATTATGATATTTCCATTTTTAGCTTTTCTTCTGTTCTTTCTATTCATCATTGAATTAGTTTTTGAGCCGAAAATTATTATAGATGTGCTGCTTACCTGAACTGTTGGGAACCGAGACTTGCTCAATTGCCCTTTGTTGTGGTGATCCCCCCAATGCCAAAATTCCAATACCTCAAAACCAACTTGCTTATCACAAATTGATATCAAGAAACCCAAACAGCCAAAGAACAATATTTGGTGCAATTAACTTGTGAAAAATAAAAAGGAAATCATCATCATCAGCAATATTGGGGTCGGCTACACGAATTTTGGTCTACCATTTTGCTCTATCAATGATGAAAAATAAAAAGCAAATCAAGTTAAGCAAAATAGAAAAAATCTGAACTACAACAGCACACTGCAAACTACAATCCAAATACCACTTAGGCACAAATATACTTGGTTCATTCTAATCAGTGTCCCTATGCAATAGGAAAGGATAATATTTCATTATCACAGGAGAATTAAAAGGTTTGGGTAATAAATAGGTGAACCTACAATCGGCAGATTCCACTATGACAAATAAACCATTGAATTAACCTCCATTGTTAACTCGATCAGCAACACTCCACCTACAAGAGAAAATGCTGATGAAACCATCCAAAATGGGGCACAATGGTAGCTAGGGTTTTGTGCCAAAACCCTCAATCTCAACCTCAACCAACCAATCCCTCACAATATCTCTACAAAATGGTTTATAAAGCCACCTCTTAAAGTGACTTTTTACAGTGGCCAAATTTCCCTTCTATAAAAATTCTTACCGTGATTTGGTATCAACAACCCAACAATCTCCACCTCGATACAAAATTGCACCTTACTATGCCAATCATATTTGGATATTCTTTGGTTTTTAGAACCTACAAAATTTATACTATGCTGCAAGCTCTCCATGCAAATAACCTCCATGAGCATGCCTCGCTCATCTTCCTTCATGCTTGTTCTTGTAATGCAAAGTCCATGTTCGTCAATTCATCCATCCTTGAGTTCTTGAGGCTATGCCAACTCCTCACATGCTTTAGGTGTAGCAATTCTCGTGCACCTAGAATACAACCAGTGTTTGATCTCCTGCCATCGAGATTTCTTGCATAGCATCTTTAAGAAGCCTTTCATGTGTTCAAAAGCTATCAATACTTGTCCATACTTCTCATTTTCTAGGGAATCAAATTTCACTCCATTCCATATTTTCCATCCTGGGCTAACGTCAAGCCAACTATAAACATGCAAAATTACCAATCTCACACTAAACATGGCAATTTTTATAACATTGGTCCAATCACATTGGCACTTTCTTTCACAAACTTTAATCATTGGTCCAAAGGAAAAGCAAAATGAGGTGCATTCGGCTTTACATCCCGTTGTGAAGGCCTCAAACCTCCATTTTCTACACCTTGCCAAAAATCTAAGATCTTGTGTTATGTCTCCAAGATCTTCCATTGTGATGCCATGTACCCCTTGCCAAGCTTTTTTCTTCTCCACAACTAAATTTGCACATTCATTTACAAATATAATTCCCAACAATTTATATAAGTTCCCTCTCGTGACTCCTTTTATCATAAGTAGAGCCTCTTTGAAATTTTGAGCACTTCAACTTGCCTGGTAAATTTGTAACCATTTAAATCTATAAAAGAAGGTGAGATTAAGCTCTTTTTTAAATCCTGCACATGCCTCCTCATATTTTCAAGTGTCGAAACCATCCCATTGTACGTCCTTATACGAACTGAGCCTCTTTTGCGGGTCTTACTCGTTGAATTATTCCCATTATCGCCTACCTGTGGCTATCATCGTCATCCTCATCAGAGCCTTTTCCCAACTATTAGGGGTCGGCTACACAAATCTTGGTCTGCCATTCTACTCTATCAAGGGCCATACCCTTAGTGAGGCCATAAGTCCTAATATCTGATCCCACTACTTCCAACCATGTCCTTTTGGGCCTACCTCTTGTCCTTTTTGAGCCTTCCACTTGAACCAACTCGCATCTCCTAACAAGTGTTGTATTGGGTTTGTGCAGCACATGGCCATCCCATGTAAGGCTTGCCACCATCAAGAATCCAACTTGATAGTACATGTGTTCGCATCCCACCATCAGCATGTCATCTTTAATGTACCTAGATGTTGATTCTTTCACTTCGTGAGCTTTATTCTTGACTTCATCTTTCTGTTCCATTCTCGAACTAGAACCAGGAATTTGGCCTTTTCCTTTCCCAACATCTTTCTTTACATGGCTGGGTTTGCCACGAAACTAACAACTTTTGTCATAAGACTCCCTTGACTTTGATACAAAACGAGACATGTAATTGAGAAATTTCTGGATGAACTACCCCATAAAAACTGCCCTCTTGCCACAAGAACATCCATCCTTGAACCCATGGAACCATTTGTTGTTGCCTTTTGTGCAGTTCATCGGCAATTAGAGCACTAAACATCGAATTCAAGTTGAGGATTCCTCCTTGTTACAACTCAAGGTAGTAATAAAACTATCAAACTATCATAAGGTTTTGGTAACGAACGAGTAATGTCATTGCCATATCTTCCTCATCCATCTTGGCCCTAATACACTTGAGTGGACAAAATTATGTTGCTGAACACATCAAGTGTGCCGACACTTTCATATCATTGCATCCTCAAAATAATATTTTCTTTTTAAAAAAATCCTATTTGTGAGGGGTTTAGTTTGGTAGAAACTTTCTAGCTTTCCTTGTGAATCCACCACCTGTTTTCTTCTACCATATTAAATAATATATCATATGTTAAAGATAAGCTAATACTGTTGAGTGCGTTCTTATTCAAATCTTCTCAATGATTATCCTTCATACTCTCTAGGTTCTTGGATTTTCCTTGTAGTGTTTTATATTGACCTTGTTGCACCAACATGTAACTTTCAAATTCCTAAGTTAAAAATCTTTCCTCCCATATCAAACTTTTCTACTTGATTTTTGAAACTAACCATTTTCCCCAAATTACTGCACACGGATTTTGATTTTTAATTTTTTGGGATTTTAATCCCTACTATTTGGGATCTCAATGCCCACCTTAAAGACCAAGATATGAAACAAACATATGATATTTATTTATTTATTTATTTTTTAAAATTTATAGCTAGCTAGCTATATGCATCTCTATAATTTTAATAAGATCATTGCTTGGTGGCTTTGAATAAAGATATTCCTACTTCAAAGCTCTAGAGCAAGATCCCCAAAAGGTTTGGGACTGAGATCCCAAACATTTGAGATCGAGATTCCTAGAAGGCTGGAATTAGGCAATAACATTTCGAGATCTCAATTCCTAAGATATGCATAGTATAGCCTAAGCAAGCAACAATAAGGATCTTATAACCTTTTACAATCCCCCGCCTCGATCTTGGTCCTTATCCTGATCCCTACAACTATGAGACGAATATAACCCCAATCCTGATCCCAACAACTATGAGTCGAATACGACCCCAAATTGAGTGTAAGAAATAAAGCAAAAAATAGAAGCACACAACATCAATTTATGTGGTTAACCAAACCTAACATGAACTAATATAGAAATCAAATAATTCCGATTTTCTGTTTTTTGAAAGCCAATCTTTTTGTTGGATCATCATAATATGAATGGTCCTTACGGATCACATCCAAAGATTAGAAATCTGAAGTTTCTCTTTTTCCTTTGTCATCATCATTGTCGAATACGTTTCCCTAATAATTGGGGTCAGTACATGAATCCTGGTTCTCCATTATGCTCTATTAAGGGTCATACCCTCAGTGAGGCCACAAGTCCCCCTATCTTTTCGTACTACTTCCAACCATGTCCTTTTTGGGCCTACGTCTTGCCCTTTTTGAGCCTTCCACTTCAGCTAAATCGCACCTCCTAACAGGTGCTGTATTGGTTCTGCGCCACACATGGTTAGCCCACCTAAGTGTATTCTCATTTATCTTATTGCCTATTAGTGCCACTCTCTTTTTCCTTTGTAATTTTGCTAATTTTCTCTATTTTATCTGTGTCCGGATTAATTCTTAATTTTGAAGTACATGTTGGTTAAGCTCAAATGAATCATGGGATGTTGAATAAATCTAGTTTATTGTTAAATTGTGTACTACTCTGTGGATCCCTGAAATTAAATTGGGGAAATTTTAATTCAAACTTCAGTAAATACGTGTTAAGTGCAGTCAACCATTTGGCTTTTACGTTTGCTCTGTTCTATAATGAAACAGTTGTTCCGTTTTCTGTACACATGGTCAACCTCCATATCATGCAGAAGGAAGTTAAAAATATGCCCTGGGTTCTATGGACTACCTGAGAACTCTCTCTCTCTCCCTCTTTGGATCAAAAGGGTTCATAGTTTTGAGGGTCATCTGGTTTACAGTTTAGATCTGTGGACTTCCTAAGATGATCCACCTGTTTGAGGAAATGGCTATTATTTCTGTAGAACTCGTCTTTTTGGGATAAACAAGCATTCAGCAAACTAGAAAGAGTAAGACTTAATCAGTTGTAGGGATATGATGGATATAATTTCATTTGAAAGGAATATATAACAAGTTAGTAAGAATCAAAGGATTATCCTCACATTCTTTCTGCGGTTTTAAAAAATATACTCTTTATCTATTTAACAGTGAATTCCTTTCTTATCAATGGACGATGAATATCTCAAACTGTATTTTCATTGGAAAATTCTGGGAGGCATGACATCTGTTGCTTGGGTTTTGGACCTTATGAAAATAAATTCTTGATGAGAATGTTATACTTTTATATCCATTGTTTGGTGCAAATTGATTTTCATAATTTATATGTGCATTTGTTATATACCAGGCAATAATATCCCTGACATTTGTGTGCAAGATTTGTTAATGCCTACAAGAAATGTTGTCTGCCAATATATTTCTAAAATATTTGGATTACTAAAATTCTTTGAAGACTGGCTTTGTTGGAATATTGTGTTGAACTGTGCAATCACCAAATCACAATCAATGCTTCTTTGTGTGAATGGGTTATTTTCCCTGAGCCTATTGAATTTTTTTTTTTGAAATGGAGTCTATTGAATATTGACAATGTGAGTTTGTTTTTTCAGAAGCTTTGGACTGAAACTGAGCTGGATAGGTACAACGGAACAGATGATGGATTGCCTATCCTTTTAGGAATTCTAGGGTAGGGGTTTTTATTCATTTTTTAGAGTTCAGATAGTAGGTATGCCTCCATCATTATGCTATTTTTACTTTGAATTTTTTCTTTGACCAAGCTTAGCACTGTGTTCGATGTGACAAAAAGAAGAGACCATTATGGATCAGGAGGGGGTTACCATCATTTTGCAGGAAGGTTGGCTTCTTCTGAGAATCTTTCTCATTTTATGTTTTATTTTTATGCTGGTTTTCCAAGTACCTGTTATTTTTTTGATTTTTACTTGTTTGAATCTTTGGGCTTGCATTGTCCTATTCTGTGCTATGTCCCTCCTGGGATCTCAGTCTAGTGCCTGGTGCTTCTGGCCAGGTGAACCTGCTCTTTTGATTGCCTCAACTATACCTCGAAATATACTAGATTGGGGCATCTATTTAAATAGAATTTTTATTCTAATTTGCATTGGATTTTGCAGTTTTGGTTTTATTTCAAGTTGGTAACCCCTCATGAGGATGTGCTGCAGTGATTTCATTTCCTACTCACGTGATTTCTTCTAAGATACTTCCTTGCATAGATGCCTCAAACAAATAGTTTCTTCTATGCTTAATTCATGATTGAGCATGAGGTGTTTTCAGTTCTTCAATTATGTTGACAATGGACATTCGTCAACCATTCACTTACAATTGTTGCATGTAATTTCCAGGGATGCATCTCGTGCATTTGTTTCTGGAAACTTTACAGGTAAAGTAGAAAATTTGTGATTATTTTATGCATTTATCTGTGTATTGGAGTCCCATATAATATTTAAGACCTCAAAATTGAACAAACTCCCTCTTCATATTAAAAGAAAAAAGAAAACCAGTTCGTGCTCTGTATATAAAAAGGACCATAACCGCCATTACATCATTTATGAATCCATACAAATTATGGTCCTTCAATGTTTTTGTCCTGTGATAGTATTTACCACATAGAGGCTTGCTGATGTTGGTCCACTGTCTTGTTTTAGCAAATGTTTGTAGAGTTGATGTTTAAGGTATTCTTGGATGTTCCTTATGATCATTTTATAAATACCAAATCCATGAATCATTTCAGCATGTGGGTAACCAAATTCATACATAGAAAACTATGCAATTTGGATTGTTTGACTTTTAATACTTCCCTGGCATTCAACTTGTATGTTAGTGTCTGATTCATATGGTTACATTCTCTTCCAATTGAAAACTATGTCATCATCTCTGGCAAATCTGTATTGTATGCCAACTCATAAATACTCATGGGAGGGTGAAATTGGTCAATTGTCTGCATGTTCAACACATTGAGACCATGTGTTCAAAAGTCCAAAACTTTTTGTTTTGTATAGTACTTACATGTATTGACATGTCAGTTAGAAGCGGTGTTTGAAGACTCAGCTGAGTCCACTCGGAGCCTCAGCAGGTTGCTGAGGCGAGTTCCCATGTACACACTTGGTTACATGGGAACATGTAGTGTACTTGGGCAAGTACAATACGGACTTGCCCAAGTACTAAAGAACTCAGGCAAAACTTACCTGAGCTACAATACTCGGGTGAGTCCCTATACTTGCTTGAGCACTATTTCCTGAAAAATAAAAAATAAAAGGGGATCAGAAATTTGCATCCCTTTTCATTCCTCTCTTTCTAAAAGGGTGGTGGAAATCTGCTCCCCTTTTTCATCTCTCTCAAAAAAAGAAAAATTTATTTCCTCTTTTTTCTATTTTTTGATTTTTGGGGATTTTAAGGCATTTCCATGCCTGTACAGTACTCATGTGAGTCCACTTGGACTTGCCCGAGTTACTTGGCTCAGGCAAGGACCGAGTCTGGAGCCGAGTATTTCAACACTAGTAAGAAGTGTTGCTAAATCTCTCTAAGGATTCAAACTTTTGCGAGCTGAGTATTTCAACACTGGTAAGAAGTGTTGCTAAATCTTCCCAAGGGTTCAAACTTTTACTTGGAATTGTCAGTAGTAATGCATATACTTTGACTCTTTTTGATATTTTATTTTCAGTTTATTTTCTTTATCGAATGGATATAACTTATATCAAGCTTTCTTCTCAGCTTGAGGTTTCTAGAGTAATTCGCAGAATGTAACTTGCAGAAATTTTACGCTGCTATGTTGGAAATTGCATCATCTTTGTTCTTGCAAATTGATTGGTGGCATCCAAAATTAGTAGTTTGAAAAGAGATATTCAGCTTCTGTGACATTCGGCAAAAATCTTGGGCTTGTTTCCTGAGAATTTTTTGATTTCTGAATTATTAGGGAAATTTGGACTGTGCACTGGTGCATACTTTTGATTTCATGTTAAGAGTCTTGTGCTAAGGGTGGTTTGTGGCCATATGGTGGCCCCTTATGTCTAGTCTTCTTTTGAGTTATGCAAAAAATCAGAAAGTAAAAAGGCTTAGTTTGGGATATTCAGACATTCAAGTGAAATATTTGGTTATTGGATTTGGAATTGTGATGGAATATCCACAGAAAATTGCCTTAATATAATTTTTCTAAAATTTTCTATCAATTATGAGTCTTGCTTTATTTGATTGTGAGATATTTTATTCAATCGTGAGTTCGTATTTCATCATTTACTTCTTTGTAACTTGTTTGATACAGGGGATGGTCTAACTGACTCAGTGAAGGGCTTGTCCAATGTGGAGGTAATGTAATTTGAGAGGCATTTGTGTTAGCTACTGCAAATGAATGTAATAAACACTATATTCTTGACTGAGACTAGCTTACTTTCTGGTTGTATTTCCATAACTCGGTGCAAGCCATGGGAGCCTAACATGGGGGCACGAGTTTACATAAAGCTTTAATGGTAGTCCTATGACTAGAGCTCATAACTACTTTTAGTTGGTTAATAGTGGTTTATTAAGGGGGCACAAATCCAGTTGTTTCACCAAATCCATGACATTGTTCTGGTGGTAGCACTTCTCTTGTGGCCTCTATTACATTTGTATGGTCATGCAAAATGCCGCTAAACATTCTGTCTGGGAAGGGGTCCGAACCCCTTTCAATCCTGATTGTATGGAGCGTCACGTGCTGGTGCTAACCGATTACCTTCCATCACCTATGCCACGGCCAAATGAAGCCTAATTTTATGAAAATTTATTGTTGATACTCTTATTCATTTATCTCAGCCATTGAATCCCAATGATTCTTTCAGAAGATTCCAGATTAGTAGGAAGCACATGGCTGGAATTTGAAGCCATTATCTTTATGTCCTCATGATCTATAACTAACAATGAAGCAGCAAGTGAAAAACTGACATGTTTTATATATGATTTCCCCCACACTTCTGGTCATCACACAAGGGCATGAGAGATCAAGATTTGTGTATTGTATATTCTAGATTCACAAAGGAAGTAACAATTATCTCACTTCTCTTTTCTAAGTTCTCTTCTATGCTGTAGGTGAAAAGTATAGTGGACTGGCGAGATTTCTACTTGAGAAACTACAAGTGAGTCTCATGTCCATTGTCTCTTCATGGTATTTGCTGTAACATATGCCTCAGATACCTTTAAGTTAACGTCCATTTGAAAGTTTAAGAGTGATCAATATTTATTTTCTGTCTGGAGTTTTCCAAGTACAAATATTTATAATCTTTATTTCTTTGAGGGGAACAGATTTACAATGCAACATCCATTTACCTGATGAAATTTGTGCGTTAACTGTTTCGGTGTAATCATGATGAAATGATGAAGAGAACAGTTTTTGCCCTTTTCTATACAAAATATTAAGACATCCATTGATCAGTGTAATGTTGCACTGCACTGTACGAATAAATTCGAAAAGTACAATGAGCACAAAGAAAATGGAAAAGCTATAGTCCTAAGGGTGATCACAGTCCATTGAAATGATTGACAGTGATGAAGAGTGAGTGGGACCATGCAAAAATCGACACAACCCTAACTGTGGGTCCTACTCTTTCTACATAGCGGATCTCATTTCTTGTCGTTGCAATTGACACAGTTTTGCTTGTTCACAGAGATTGGGGGTTCTAATATGCTTCCACCTCTTGAATTTCAGATGCGTTGGTAAATTAATTGGTCGCTACTATAATGGCAATGGTGAACCAACAAAATTGTTGAAGGGAGTTGAAGCAAGGGCAGCTCGTGGGGCCCAACTCTTAGAGAAACAGAAGGCTGAAGAGGCCAAACTACCGAGCTGCAATTCTCAATGGAGTCAACAGGAAGGGGGAAAGGTGAGAAACCTATGAACTCCTCCTGATACTTGTTCCTTTTATACCAATATGATTGGATAATTTTGTTCCTTATATTTTTTTGTTGAGGGGGCATGCCACTTTGCTATTTCATGCTAAAGAAGACAGTAGCATGTTGCCAATTTTTACATTTGCTATCTCTCTCTCTTTGAGGTGCTCAGGTCTGGTGTGAATCTGGATACCCGAGATTAGTTCAAAAGCCGGGAGAAATAGCTTTGACAGGACGAATGAGCCAGAGATGTGCTTGCTTTAAGGAAGAGGAGCTGGAGAAGCCTGGGTTAGAGGTTTATAAGGGATGTGACCGGTTGTCAAAGGTGTGTGTGGTTTGATGGCCTCAAGTGTCTCTCTCTCTCTAGGCCAATATAAATTAAATCACCTCAAGGCCATTGTTATTAAACCTCCCTCTCCCTCTCTCTTCTCTCTCTCTCTCTCTCTCTCTCTCTCATTTTATAAGTCTATCTGCAAGCCATTATAAGTCTAGCTCTCTCTCTCTCTCATTTTATAAGTCTATCTGCAAGCCATTATAAGTCTAGCTCTCACTCATTCAAGATACACATGATGTTCAACATTTCAGAACCACTTTCTTTAGGGGGTCTTGTGCATTCTTCCTATTGTATTTAAAGTCAGATTTTAGGATTTCCTTACCAGGATGTATTTCAAATGGAGACATGGATTAATTTGTAATTTAAGAGGTTTGCATAATTTCTTAAGCCTGGCTTGATGTGAAGGCCATCTGCCGGAAACAATGATTATGGTACCGAAAATGTTGATCAAGGGCATGTTTGACAACGAGGATTCTAGGGTTTTGGAGGTTTTCTAAACGAGGCCTAGTTTCGATGTCAAGTAAAAAAACTATCATTTGGAAAACTTGCAAGTTTTTTGAAGGGATATTTACCTAGTTATCCCCTATATTTTTTGGAAGTTAAAAAATTATGTGGTTATCCCCTGTACTTTTTGGAAGTTAAAATGTTCTCAGTATTTTATATTTTATGTTCGTGCCTTACTTTTTAAGACTTTGTCTAGTATTTTTCATTTTATCCTTTCTTTAGTATATTATATTGAGCTCAAATTTTGTGTTTCTATACTTTTCATCATAACGCATTTGAAAAGAAATATAAAAATAAATGGCCAAAAATTCACACAGTTTTTAGGGTATTAAGTCATTCTTGTCATTTTATTTATTTAAAGTTATTATTATTATTTTATGGGAGGATAATGGGAAGAAGTATGGACATGCAAAATTTGAGCTTAATCTAATTTGTAGAAAAATTAAAATTAGAATATGATATAGACTCTAAAAGTAGTATATGAGCGTAAAAATAAAAAATTGTGGACAATTTTTATAATTCGGCATAATATGAAAGTTATTTGTGTCGTACATAGAATTAGAGATTGAGGAAGATAATTAAAAAAAATGGAGACGTTGGGGAAGATGACGCATATAGAATTAGATTTGGGTGGGTGAAGTGGATAAGTGTTACTGGAATTTTATATGGTCATCGCATACCAATGAAGCTGAAGCGTAACTTTTTATAAGACAATTGTGAGATCAGCTTTGCTTTGTAGGGCATAATGAGTGTAGTCGAGATGTGGATGTTGAGATGGATGAATGACAAGACAAGAATGGATAGAATATGAAATGAATCTATTTAGAAAAGCTTAGGTGTGGCATTAATAGGCGATAAGATGAGAGATAGTAGACTTATGTGAGCTGACTATATGCGAGTTAGTTCAAATGGAAGGATTAATAAGGGTATGGGGTAGGTCAAAAAAGATGTGGTTGAAAGTGGTCCGAAAAGATATGGGGATTTATAGTTTCACTGAAAGTATAAGAGTAGAATAACATACCAGGATTTGTGTAACCAATCTCAATTACTTGAAAAAAATTATGATGATGATGATGATAAAAGATATTAATGTAAATCTCCATTGTCCAAATACACATCTAAAAGACTTTTTAAAGTTGTATTTCTTAACATTGTCATTTGGCTGGAAGATAGGATATGAGAAGGGAGTAAGTAGGCATGTGTTCTAATAGGAGGGCATTTGAGCACACGACTACCTGGGGTGGGGCGGGGCTTCGACGAGGAATCATTGGAGCTCTGCTCGATGAGGCAACAGGAGCCCTACTTGATGAGCATTGAGTATTTACAGTTGGAACTCCTCTCCATGAGCTTTCAAAGCCCTACTTGATGAGCATTGAGTATTTACAGTTGGAACTCCTCTCCATGAGCTTTCAAAGCCCTACTTGATGAGCATTGAGTATTTACAGTTGGAACTCCTCTCCATGAGCTTTCAAACTCCTATTGGCCTCTTTAAATTTCCAAAGACGATTTCAGAAATTGCATCTTCGGAAAGAAGTGGATACCGCTGGTCCTGGAATCCGTGCAACCCACTTTTCAACGTTATCTTATTCTTAAAATAAGAGGTTACCTCAAGTTCCATATTTTGCGTATCCCTTCCCATTATCGAATAAGGAAGTGCTTGCTTCCAAAATCAAATGCCCACAAGTTTGAGAGAGGGGTATTGGGGACTTTTGATAATCGGACAGTCGAGAGTTCACAACATAAATGGTGCTTGGGTCAATAAGATAAGGAAAATTGTTCCATACGGCGGGGACCGCATTTCTATATTTGTGGTCCTCGAGGTATGAAGCATCCATCTTAAAGATGGATGCAAATAGGTGGTCCATCTAAAAAACGATTGAAGCTAATGACCCAAATGTCTTCTTAATGAAATAATTATGTTTAATTGTCAAAATTTATTTATGTTTTTCAAATTCATGATCTCCATGTTAGTGATTATATGTCTTTAAAAATTAAGTCCAAAAATCCATCTCAAAAATAGATTTTTAAGAGGTGACTCATTTCTACGTGGACTTATAGAAACCGTGTCCATAAGATAGAGACGCGGTGTTGGTGAGTCAGCCTGACCTATTACCTTGAGGTCACTTGTCTATCTAACATCCATCTCTAAGATAGATGTCAAAAAATGATATATCCACTAAAAGTTAAAGTGGGTGCTGTTTGTAAAGAGCTTAGGTTCTAAACAATCAAATTAGAGCCTACCTTCATAAAGTATTGAGAAATGTGGTTTCAATACTGAAAATATTTGGGATAGCCTTAAAATACATTTTCATCTTTATTTATAAAGTTTAAAGCTTCAAAACTAATGTAGATCGACAGATCTATGAAAACTTGAAAATTTGAAAATCTTGAAAATTGATAATCCAAAAATACATTACAAAATACACTATTTTCAAAACTTGAAATCCATTTTTTTCTCATGCCTATGCATCTTGATGTCAAGATAATCAATTTGAAGCAATCTGAGCATCAAAACAACCTCTTCTAGTGAAATTTTTGAGGTAGGCTCAAATTTGATTGTTTAGAGCGTCGGCTCTATATAAACTTTTCACTAAGTTAAAATGTATGGTGAAGAAAGGAATTCAAAACATAATATTTATATTTTTGAATTTGTTTTGTTTTTGTTTTTTTTTTTTTTTTTTCAAATTTTAGATCATTTTCATGGCTGATGTTATTGAGCTCTGAAATTTTGAATCGAACATACATGTTTCAAATGTATTTTTAGAGCGAACGCACAAGAATAGTATGAGTTGGCCGATTAACCAAGCAACTTTTCCATGGCATAAAGGGGATTTGAGAATTGAGATGAGCAAGAAGAAATTGTGTTCATCTCCTACTTGAAGCTGTAAAATTAGAGGTAGCGCCATCCATAGCGGGAGAATTACGGTATCTTTGGGAGAGCGCTTCCTTGAGGTTCACCATAATCAAAAGTCCAAAAAAAATAAGGATAAATTTATATTGAATAAAATAAAAATACCTCAAATGATACAACAAAATATTATTTAGAGAGTTAAACCTCTTAACAAATTATTAAGAGGTTAAAAGATCTCAATTAGAATGGGAGGTCTTAACAAATTATTAAGAGGTTAAAAGATCTCAATTAGAATTAGAATTGGAAGGCTTATTTTTTAAATTTTCAGTTCACTTATGTACCTCAAAAAAAATCTTCAGAGATGTCTCAATTTTCCCCTCTTCACAGGTAAACAATGGGGGTATTTTAGTAACTTTATCCATCTCTCTATAAATAGGGTTACTCCCATAATTTAGTTGAGACATCTTAGATGGCTCAAATTATGGAAATGCCGTTGCTTGATCAGGTTCCCAACTATGAACATGGGCAACTTATGTATTTTGAAGACATTATTTAAAAAAGTTCTTGAGTGAAATGAAAATTAAAGCACAACACCTCAATGTTTATTAGGCTCTTTTGATCATTTTTAATGATTTTATAAGTAGTTGTAACCCCTTAAATGATATTTTTCTCTTTGCCAATTAAAAATCAAACAAAAATTCTATCAAAGATAATTTTATTTCGAATGCTAACCAATGACAAATAAACAAATAATTATAACGATAATAATGAGAATTTCTATATTAAACGTAAATTACTAATGATAGAAATTGCATCCAAAATGGGCCGAGAAGGGACAATAAAAAGAAACCTATACAATAAAATAATTTAATTTTGGTATAAAGAGGTAGCAATCATTACCGATCATTAGATATTAAGTGGATTGGTATGAGCCATTGACCGGACACAAAGTTAAAAAATGATGTTTTTTTAATGTTGTTACACGTTGTGTAGGATTTCATATCTAATGATTAAAAATAATTGTAAACTCTACGTATTAAAAGTAAATAGTAATATAATATATAATCCCATAATAAAAAGTGAGTAGAAACTTGTACGTATATACATATAAAAAAAGAAAAAAAGAAAAAAGAAAAAATTGGAAGCATCGCGATTTCTAAAGCATTAAATTGAGATGCTTTATATGCTGCGCGACTTTCTTTTACTTTCATTCAAGCCACACTTTATTTGAATTTATTGTTCGAATCCGCCGACTTTTATGTGCAAGTGAGTCCCATCTCTAAAGTTTATCTTCGATTTTGGACCCAAATTGTTAGATACATCAGCCGACAAGATTTTCAACGGATGAAGTATTTATAAGGTCTAGGACTAGGCTTTATAAAAATAAAGTAAAGCCTAATTTAAAATTTACTTTTAGAAAGCATTTTGGTCATTGAAAATCTTCAATATTGTTCTAAAATCAATTTGCAATATCAATTATGAAATTTGAGATTAAAAAAAAAAAATACAGATCATAGGTATTTATGAACACTTATTTTTAGAACAAAATAGATAGCCTAAATAATGTGTTACAATATACCTCGTTTTTAAAGCTTGAAATCTTAATATTTTTCTATAACCGTAATGGTCAAAGCTGAGATGATCGATTTGAAGGTTTTTGGATATTAGAACTATTATTTTTAGTGAGTTTTGAGGTGATACTCTGCTTATTTTCATAAGGCTGCAGCCTTGTCAAAACATATTCTGTTTTTTAAATCCACAAATATTTTTTCTTTTGTGAAATTGTTTTGGGAAAAGTTTATTTATGGATGCAACCTTATAATGTAGAACTATGGATGTACCTCAAAAATCTATCGAAAAAGGTAATTTTAATGTTGAAAAACCCTTTGATTTATCATCTCGACATCGATATGTATGACCATGAAAAATAAAAAGATTTTAAGTCTAAAAAATAATATATTTTACAACATATTATCTACACCGTCCATTTTTAAGATTTTCATATATTTATAGATCTACCTGATTTTAACCA